GGATCACCCTGGGAAGGGGAAATAAATGAGATCTCCATGAGTAAACTGGGGGTGAGGGGTGGGCAATGGAGGGTAGGGAATAGGGGATGAGAAAATAAGGGAATGGGATGGTTGAGCTAGAACAGGGATGGAGTGAGAAAACAATGAAAGAGATACCATGATAGAGGGAGACATCATGGGGATAGAGAGAAACCTAGTGCTAGGGAAGTTGCCAGGAATCCCCAAGGATGGTCCCAGCCTGGGCTACTAGAAATAGTGGAGAGAGTGCCTGAAATGAACTGGCTTGCTCCAGAGATCAGACCGATGAATACCTTAACTGTCATCACAGAGCTTCTCTCCAATGACTGATGGAAGCAGATGCAGAGATCCACAGCCAAACACCAGGCAGAGCTCCAGGAGTCCAGTCAAAGAGAGAGAAGAGGGATTCTATGAGCAAGTTCATCAGGATCATGAGGGGGAAACCTGCAGAGATGACCAAACCAATCTAGAGGGAACTCATGAAAGTTGGATCAATGACTGAGGAGCCTACATGGGACTCGACTAGTCCCTTTACATGGCCAGACAGTTGTGTAGCTTGATCCAAGAGAACTTACTCAGGGTCCGAGAATCTGAGCTTGCTTTACCCAGCAGGGCTGCATAAGGGGATGATTTGACCACAGGCGTGGTTGCCAGGTGTTTGGAAGGGTCTGCACTTGGCTGTGCAGTGTGCTTTGATCTTGCAAGGGGGAGGTCTTTTGCCCCGCCCCTTGGCATTGTTATAAAAAGCCCTTTTGAATAAATGGAAAGGGCCGTCGGGCATTGGCCCAGGTCCTCCCGAAGCTATCCTGTGTTTCTTTCTCCTCTTCGCTATCTTTGTAGTATTTTCTTATCCCTCTCTCCTCCTCATAGGAACCCTGGAAAAGGTGGGAGCTGGCCTCCCACATTATAGCTCTGGGTTCTCAATCTAAGGTTCCATATTAAAAGGTCCCCTACTCAGCAGTGAAGAGTTCTGACCAGGACATAGAGGAGGTTAGAACTTTTCTTGAGAATTCCTGAAATGGCTAAGAATGTTTCCCTTTGTGAGAATGACCTTCTCTGAGGGTTCTAGTGTGTCGACCACATGAGGTCAAGTTAAGAAAGGAAAGCGTTGGTTACAATGTTTGGTTCCTTAAACCCAGTGACTGATGACTTCAGGATGAAAAACACTGGAGACATAAATGTAAGAAAATGATACCAAAAGAAGGAGGGATCCAATTCTTGTTTCTCTCTATTCTATCTTCCTTCCAAGGGCAAAAAGTTTAATTGCAAATTTAACATCTTATTTTAGATTTGGGGTTGCTTATGAGTTATAGATATGGCTTACTGCATATCTAAAAGCCACTTGTTCAGATAGAACAGTGGATTGTTCGCTTGGCTCTAGGGATAAAGTCAGGACTGGTCTAAATCAGTCTCAATAACATTACTCTTTTTCAGATTTTGGTCTAGGGCTATGAAGGATTCATGCCAATGGATTAATGTATTTTTTCTTAGTAAAAAGAAAGAAAAGGAGAAAATTTAACTTTTTGTCTTTAAGTGCCCATTTGTGTTGAGGGAAAGCTTTGACTGATCATGTGTTTTGGAACCTTAACAGCCAGCCTTCACTCATGGAGGAAAAGTCAAACTTGGCTAATCATAGACAGCAATCTAGAGCCCTGAGATCACTGGCCTACTGAATAAACCCTAGACCACTACCCCTTATACATCATGCTCTGAGAGAAAGGGAATTCGGTTATTTTAAAGGGAGTTTTGACAGAAAAATAAATCATTACTACAAAATGCCTAAAACATTCTGGCAACTACAATAGGTGAATTTGCTTTGGAACCTGCTCTCAGAACTTCTTATGAGAAGCGGTATTGAAACACTGCCTCGCTTCCTGATCATCATGAGATGCTGGACTCAAACCCTGAACGATGATTTCATTTAGAAGTCATAGAACAGACCATTCCAGACAAAGAAATTGTAGGAGAAAGGATTATTTGTGACGTGAAGGTTCATGATGGGAATTCTATGTGCTATATGACCTAGGATATAGCAGGTACACAAATGTGAGCAGTTTGAGGAAATGGCCTCTAGACCTAACTTCGTAACTTCACTTCCCATATAACATACAAACAAAAATGAATAAATAAAAACAAACACACACCCCCAAACAACAGGAGTTTAGGTTTAGATGGTTTTAGGATCCATACACATAACAGAAATCACTCTTGGTATTCTTTGTTGTTATTTTTTTGGTTTGATTTTTTGAGACAGGGTTTCTCTGTGTAGCCCTGGCTGTCCTGGAACTCACTCTGTAGACCAGGCTGGCTTCGAACTCAGAGATCTGCTTGCCTATACCTCCCATGTGCTGGGATAAAAAGTGTGAGCCACCTCTGCCCAGCTCACTCTAGGTATTTTAAGCAGAAAGATATGCTACATGGAGAATAATCCTGAGAGTTTTGAAGTGTTAGAAAAGCAAGATCTAGGCTGGACCCTCAAGGACAAATCCCAGAGTACTAGCAATTGACCATTAAGAAATGTTCTATTGGATTGGAGAGATGGCTCAGAGTTTAAGAGTATCTACTGTTCTTCCAGAGGTCCTGAGTTCAATTCCCAGCAACCACATGGTGGCTCACAACCATCTGTAATGGGATCTGGTGCCCTCTTCTGGCCTGCAGGTGTACATGCAGACAGAATACTCTATACATAATAAATAAATAAATGTTCTATTTTTGCCACAGGCGAGAGTTTGCCCAGGGTGTGTGATAGTCAAGAGCATCATGGTAGCTGCCACTAGAGAAGCTGAGATCCGGATGCAATCTGCTTAGAACAAGAATGTATCTGTGGTGGTCTGAGCATGAACGAACTCCATAGGTTCATGTATTTGCATACTCAAACACTAGTTGGTAGAAGTGTGAAAGATGGATTAGGAGGTTTGGTCTTGTTGGAGGAAGTGTGTCACTAAGAGCTGGCTTTGAGGTTTCAAAAGCCCACAAAATTCCCAATGTATATTTCAAGAGGAGAGTTCTCCGCTGCTGCTCCGGCGCCTGCTCGCTTGCCTGCTGCCATGATGACTACTGATTTTAACCCTCTGACACTGTGAGCGGCCCCCAGACGCCTTTCCTCTATAAGTTTCCTTGGTCACGGTGTCTTCTCACAGCAATAGAAAAGTAACTAAGACAATTCAATCACCTCCCTCAACTAACTTTTAAAACAGGGTCTCACTGTGTAGCCTAGACTGGCCTCCAACTTTGATTCTGCTGCCTCAGGCTCCTGAAGTCTGGAATTACAGACCTGCCCTACTGTGACTCCCCCGTCCCCTCCAATCACCTCCAACAGCCTCAAGGTTGAGGATTTAACACAGTATGACTGAGTCTGAAAGTCTCCGGGCACAGGAGCCCCAGCACCAGCAGTTCTGAAGGCTGCCATCACCAGGGCCTTCCTTGAGGACAGAAAACATTGAAAAAAAAAAAGGAAGATGGCTTTGGCCTTGCCCCACCTTAGGCACATTATCTGCTTGCTAGACTCTAGATCGACAACCAAACTCAAAGGGAAGGAAGTCTGTGGAATGTTTTTAGTTTTCCACGGTGTGCTAGACAAGAATACATGCCAGAAGCAGATGAGTGTCAACTTCCACATTCACATGTAAACCTGGGATACTATCACTAACACCTCTGGCTTAGTCTTTTTTTTTCTGAGACATGGTCTCACTATATAGCTCTGACTGTCCCAAAACTCACTATATAGACCAGGTTGGCCTTGAACTCACAGATATCCACCTACCTCTGCCTCCTGAGTGCTGGGATTAATAGGCATGTGCCACTACACCCAGCTCATCTGGCTCATTCTTAAGGCCTTATGTGAGTACTCCAAAAGCACAGAGAATATAGTTGATGGGGTGGTAACCCTAGAGACTTGTTATGCCAGAAAATAGATAGCATGCCTTAGTCACTGGGCTGGTTAGTTTTTTGTCACCTTGACACAAACTAGAATCATCTGGGAAGGGGGGCATCTCAATTGAGAAAATGCCTCCATCAGATTGGCCTGTAGTCAAGTGTGTGGGACATTTTCTTAACTAATGATAGGTGGGGGAGGGCCCAGCCCACTGTGGGCAATGCCATCCCTGAGCTGGTGGTCCTGAGGCCTATGAAAAGGCACACCGAGGAAGCTATAGGGGGAGCAAACCAATAAGCAGTGTTTGTCCATGGCCTCTAGCTCAGTTCCTGCCTTGAGTTTCTACCCTAAATTCCCTTCATGATGGACTGTGAGATGAAATTAACCCTTTCCTCCCCAGGTAGCTTGTACTGGTGTTCATCACAGCAATAGAAGACTGATACTTGGCCCACACCCCTAGCGCATCGTGTATGGTGAGGGCCTAACTTCCTGTTTAGGTATACTCTGATCCCAGAGTTGCATTTTGAACTCCTGTAGGTGGAAACAGTATGTCATTCACAATCGCAGAGAAGACCTGCAGCTGTCTGCGGAACTGAAACTCTTCATTCGAGGACTTGGAAGGAAGAAGGTAAGCCAGCATCCGTGGAGAAGCCTGAGCAGGAGCACCTACTGCTAAGGGGGTGGGGGTGGGGGTGGGGATTGAGAGGTAGGGGCAAACAGAAGACCTGTGTCAGACACCTTCTCCATTCCGTCTGGTGGTGGTGGTTTCCTGCTGGGAGGCTAAAGCTTTTTGCCATTAATGTTTTGGTGAAATAAGTCTAACCCGAGTCTAGAGCAAGAATGAGACAAGAAGCTGATACCCGGCAAGTAAGAGAGCCACACAGCTCAAGTGCTTTGAGCAGGCATAATGCGGTCCAGTGTCCAGACCCGATGATCCTCAGCACGCTGAAGTGCTACCCAGTCCCAAAATAAAAACAAGGAAAGCCCCGCTCAAATTGCCTAACAACAGTAACACAAAGACCCCAAACACGCACGCGCACACGCGCGCACGCGCGCGCACAGACACACATACAGACACCCCACCCACACACTATGGTGTGCTACTCACATCACTGCCGGCAGTCTCCGACACAGGCCACCCGGCTGACTTAGGCCACCGGGCTACTGGGAACCCAGCCTTGTCTGCTAGGCGGCGGGGCGGCGCCGCGCCTGGGGGCCTGCGGATAACCGGGAGGTCCGGGGGCGCGGCGCAGGGCGGGGCGCACTCTCCGGATTCAGGGCTCCGGGGGCTCAGCTGGAGGAAGACCCCGACCGGCGCGCCCCGCTTCCCCGCAGCCTCACAAGGCTCACTGTTCCCCAATCTCCTAAACTCTGTGATCCCACGCCACCTCCAGGACTCTCAGTGTCTTCCCAGGGATTGTGGAGAGGCAGGGTTCTTCTGTCAGGTGACAAGTGGTGGGGTGAAACCGTGGAGTAGAGTTTATCACTGTGGGCCTGTTGCTGTGCTGTTTTACACAGGAACCCTCCCGCCTGCCGTTTGTTTTTTTAGTTCTGACTTCCAGTTTGGTGTCTTCCTTTCCTACTTCTTTTCTTTTAAAGCAGAGTTGAAGTTCGTTATGCTATTTTAACGTGGATGCTAAACACTAGGGTTAAGGAAGTGAAACGCTCCCAGTCAGAAAGACACACCCAAATATGGGAGGGTGGGCTTCTCAGGACAGTCGCTCCCATCCCTTACCTGGTTTCACTCCTTGAGCAAGTGCTAAATTCAGTCTTGGGTTTCAGGGATGCAGGTGTATCACATAAATTTCTACGCCGGACAGAAATCATGGGTGGTTCTTCTGGCCCGTCCTCGGAATGAACCTAGGCTCCATCCAGTGCCCTTTCTCGGAGGCAACGAAATGATTCTTTTCCTAATATGAACTCATTTTCTAAAACTTGCAAAAATTTCCATTCTCATCAGCTTCCTCTTCCTGCAGGACTAAGAAGTATTCCCCCCTCATTGGTCATATGATGTTCATTTGATGTCTCTTTATTTGATTGGCATGAATGGAAAACATTGAACTTTTTGGCTAGATTCATTCCTGGTTTCATTGCTTATAATGTCTAAGCTCTGACAGAAGGAACTGAACATCTCTTGCTGGAATTTATCTTGTAGAAGTCACCATGTTTAAATGAATTTATCTGTTTTTAACTATACGTGAACCTGCTCACAACACACAGTATTTCATTATTCTCCATTCCGGTGTTCATTCATTTACTAGATAAGGATTTCAAGCATTTTGATTGTGATACACAAAAGGAAAGATGAGGCATTTAGCCCAAATCCCTATGGTGATATTTTATTTGTGCTGAAATGTGATTTTATTTGTATGTTAATAAATAAAGTTGCCTGGGGATCAGAGCTAAATACAAGCCATTTAGCAGGAGTCTGGCAGTGGTAGCACACACCCTTAATCCAATCACATGGCAGGCAGAGTCTCTGTGTGTTCAAGGACACAGCCAAGTGGTGACCCTAACCTTTAATCCCAGTATGAACCATAGAGACCTGGAGGTCTGTATAGACAGGCAGTGACAAGGAAATCATGTGGTTGGGTTTAGAGCCAATGAGAAGGTAGAACAGAAAGGCAATAAAAAGACGGGTCACACAGAAGACAGTCTCTCTGAGGGTAAGGACGGCAGTGACTGGTAAGCTAAAGGCTTCGCTAGTGCTCTGACCTCTTGGGCTTTTAACTCTGTATTTAGCTTTGTGTTTCTTATTTAATAAGACCATTTAGGATTTCATCTACAAATCCCTAATTTCATAAACTAAAAGCCTAGCCAGGCCTGGTGGCACAATCTATATTCCTAGCAGTCCTGGGGCAGGAGAGTGGTGGTAACAAAGCCAGTGTGAGCTACAAAGTGAGAAGCTGCCTGAATAAACAAAGCTCACGCACCAGTCCCCCACCTGCCTGTAGACTACCTGACCAGAACCCTAACTAACCTTATCAGTGGAGCTGTTGGCCCTGCTACTCAAGCACCCTTTGTTGTGAATTTCAATCCACATTCATCAACTGCACCATCTTCATACACAGAATGTTATCCTTGCATTGTGGACCCCACAACTATCCTGGCTAATTAAGTCTCTCTGAGAAAAGGCAAGGAGCCAAGTGCTGGCTTCCCATCATCTAGTCTTCTAAGGTGACAAGAAATAGCTCACACACACAACCTCAAAGCTGGAAAGAGTCACTTGTAAACAATGCTATAGAGTTATCATTCATAAATTCACCAACACTTCTAGAATAATTTATTTTCTTTAATTTCACTTGTCTCCTGCTAGTGACTGAGTTATATTTATGCAGAGCCTATTTTCAGAGTCATGTGCTTTTAACTTGTTATCCTGGAAACCATTGAAAAACATCACTGAATTTAATCTACAAAAATCCTCCTAAATTGACTGTATTGCACGTTAATTATATATTCTTAGTCCCATATTGAATATAATTGCTGATTTTAATAAGTAATGTCTAGACTAAGGAAATAGAGCTTAATATGCAGTAAACACTTGGTCGTTTTTTCTTTTCCATAACAAGGCAAAGAATGTAATTGTGAATCAGAATTCCTCTACTGTGTCATTAAAGCAAGCTCCTTCTCACCTGTGGTGTGTATTTATGGTTGTGTAAAAATCTCGTGTTAGTATCAACAAACAGAACAATGCAGAACTTTACAAACACATTTCAGTTTTGAAAACTAAAGTGAAACTGGAAATGAATGTGAATATTTTTCCTTTAAAAACTTTTTTCTTTGTATTCATATTTTAATTTTACTTGTTATAAACTAAGGTGTCCTCCCCAAATTCCTGTGTTAGATCTGAACCCCCAGTGTGATACTGGTCAAAGGTAGGGCTTTGGGAAGTAATTAGGTAACGAAAGGTCCTCTCCAGTTAGGGAAGAATGCCTTACAAAAGTGCTGTACAGGCCTGGGTTCTTTTCCTCTGCTTTTCTCAAGTGAAGACACACAATGTGCCCCTCTGAATACCTGGAGTCGGAGATGTTAGGAATCTCCAGCTCCGGCCTCATTTTAACCCCCGACCCCCCAAGATGGGGCCCCACTCCTTCCATTCCAAGCCCCGCCCTCAGAAAAACCCATCAAACGGAGCCTCCTCCTTCAGAGCTCCTCAAGACCTCCCTACAGGGTATTTAAGGTCGGGTCTATAGGCCTTCCTCCATGCAGTTCTCCTCGCCACCCCCAGACCACCCAGGAATGCTTTGCTCATTAAGTCTGGACTTTTAATTCGGTTTGATTTGGCTTTACTGCATTGGTGGAGATACCCACTCCTGGAGATTTTTCAAAACACTGCTCAGGATCCTCACTAGATAGAATATCTCTCAGCAGCTTGCTCCATTGTAGGCGTGAGAGGCCGACGTCCAGTTTTTAAAGCTATATTTGTAATAGTTATATGTTATGCCAGCAAGATCTCACAAATCTTTGCTTATTTTAAAAACTATTCTTTTGAATTATTTATATACTTTATTTGATTTATTTACCATAGTTTCAGAAGAGACAAGAGTCTATTTAAAGATTCCCACTCTGGAACAATCATTCAAAGGGGCTGTTTTCATGAGTGTCATCCATAGGAGAGCTGATCATTGAATCAGTTTCTTTTCTCTGTGCATAGGAAGGGCCTGCCTTCTCAGCAAGGAGTTCCTGCAGTCACAGGCTCCAGCCTCCATCGATGACGACAGGGTTGCCCGTTACGTAGGCAGACTGCAATGACAGACAGGTACAGAAGACGCAACAGTCAACCACGCTGCACCCAGGGTGTATTTTGAACATTTCTTATGAGTAGGATAACAAAACCTTTGATGTTGATGATAACAGAAACCGTAACAGAATTCAAGGGCAGGGGTGAGGGGTTGGGGATAGGAGGGATGAAAGTTTGGATAATTGAGAACAGCTGAGCATCCCATGACCTGGAGCACATGGCTTTGGCAAATGAGCATGTCACATTCTTCACATGGTCTGTTAGGTGCTTGGCTTCAGAATCACAAAGTTAACAGGGGGTGATAAAAAGTACATGCTGAAATAGTACATGCTCTTAACACTTTCATTTTGAAACTCAGAACATTCAAAGACAGCTAACTTTCAGATCACCAGTAAGTTTTTTTTTAATGTGTGTCTGTCATTAAGTGGTCATGCTAACAATGGGGAAAGTGCTTATTAACTGATCAATTCATGAAAGCATACTAATTTTTTTTTTTTTTTTGGATTTTCAAGACAGGGTTTCTCAAGTGAAGTTTTGGTGCCTGTCCTGGATCTCGCTCTAAATATGTTTTTAAGATTTATATAGGCAATAATTATTGCAGTCCATTAACGTGTCAAATAATATTCCACGCTAAATTCAGATGCCCAATTCCATATAACACTAAAGGGTTTAAAAATAATCATTGTCTTATGTTTGTAAACATTTCTATTTCCCAGAGAACTAAAGTTGAAGTTGTGGTAGATGTTTAAAAATATTTCAGCTTGCCTTCTGGACATGGACATGGCCAGACCCTTGAACTCATGGGTTCATAGCAGTTGTGGCTACCTGCTCAGACTGTAAACATTAACATTCCATCACTGGTGACTGAGGGGCTCATAAAGTCCCTCTCTTAGCAAAAGAACTCTTGGCAGTTAATGGCTGCTGAGGGAAAGGAGTCATTCCTCCTCAGTGCCGTGGCCACTGGTAGTCCATGTACATGTCAGCAACCCCACACCCATGCCCTAGAAAGACAGGAAATAAAAGTGGGAGGAGACTCGTTGAGAAGAGAGGGCTCAAAGGAGCGATGGGGGAAACAGAGTAACGGGATAAATGTGGTTAAAGTACATTATAGAGGTGTATGAAATTGTCAAAGAATTAAAAAAAAATCTATTCACTGAAAATGGGTAATAAACTCTCGTGTTTGTCTTTAGCTGGACATGAATCTAAAGCTGAAGTCACTGAAAGAGGCAGGGGATAGTGTGGTGATACTGTGTCCCCCCAACATATTGTGCACCCTAATAAATTTATCTGAGGATCAGAGGAAAGAGCCAGCCACTATAGTAAACATAGAGGTCAGGCAGTGGTAGCGCACGCCTTTAATCCTATCACTGGGAGACAGAGATTCATCCGGATCTCTGTGAGTTCAAGGCCACACTGGGAACAGAGCCAGGCGTGGTGGCACACACCTTTAAATTCCAACACCAGTTAACCATAGAGGTCTGGAGGTCCATTCAGACAGACAGGAAGTGACAGAGCTGGGCAGAAAGAGGAAGTGATGTAGCTGGGCAGAGAGTGGAAGTGAGATGGCAGGGACAGAAAGGCATACAGGCCCGGGTAAACAGGAAGCAGGTCTCTCTGGAGGCTGAGGGCTGGTGAGGTGAGGTTGGCTTTGGCTCATTCTATTCCTCGGATCTCTCGGTTTTCACCCCAATATCTGGCTCCGGGGTTTTTACTAATAAGACCGTTTAGCCATTCATCTTACAAGAAAGTACAATTTTTTTTTAGTTAAATACATGAAAACTGATAATTACTCAATAATAATTTATCTAGCAATTCCCCAGCTCCTAGGAACCGTTGCCAACAGTCTTGAGGAGTGTTTACTAAACCATTTCAAACTTTGTGTCTGTCAAAATCACCAATTATCTGGATGGCACCAAGTTACTATGAAGAGGAACTTATAGGTAAGTAATCCCCCTGGGGAAAAAAAAAAAGAATTGAAACAGTCCCTCTAGGAGGGGGTGCAGGCTCAGGAGACCCTGGAGGGAAACAATCTTCACACACCTCCAGAAGTGAAAGCATGCAGGCTTCTCAAAGGCTCTGCCCCCACCCCTCACTGTATGGAAGCCGACACTGCTGGAGGAGAGGGAGATCTGATCAGGCATCTGCCGTCACCAGTGCTCCGGGGTGATCACCCACACTAAGGAGGGCTTTTCAGTGATACAGCTGTTTCTAAGTCAGCCCTGCTCCTGTAATTAACCCCTGGAACATACTCCTGTTAGGAACTCCTGTAAAAATTCATCGTTCCCAATTGCTATTCTGTCTATTTCGGGTTCAGAATAGAAGAAGATTGGGGCTGGAGAGATGGCTCAGGGGTTAAGAGCACTGGCTGCCCTTCCTGAGGTCCTGAGTTTGATTCCCAGCAACCATATGGTGGCTCACAACCATCTGTAATGAGATCTGGTGCCCTCTTCTGGCCTGCAGGCATACATGCAGACAGAATGCTGTATACATAATAAATAAATTAATTTAAAAAAATAGAAGAGGATGTTTTTATGCTCTGTACCTTGTAACCGCTTTTGCTTTATCAGTCATACATACTAGTCACCAGGGAAGAAATTAGTTATTAAACATGTGTAAAGTCGAAGAGACCGAATTAGGCATTTCTACACACAATGACAAACAACAGGGAAAATCATAGAACCCTCCCAATCAGGCCACTAGTGAACTAAAACAGCACGTACCAACTCTATCCCAAACACAATGAAAGCTGGTAATAATAAGTAGTTTTGGATCCCCAGTATTAGGTTTCTCCGCCGATGCAGTAAACCAAATCAAGCAGAATTAAAAGTCTAGGTTTAATGAGCAAAGCATTCCCGGGTGATCTTGGGGGAAGAAGAAATCACATGGCAGGTCTCTGGACCGGAGCTTAAATACCCCGTAGATGCAGTCTGGAGCAGCTCTGGGGGAGGAGCCGCCGCTTGGTGGGCTTTCTGAGAGGGGGTGTGGTTTGGAGTCGGGGAGAGTGAGGCTGGAGCAGAGCTTCCAATTTAAAAGGTAAATCTACCCATATCCCCCTTCAGCCCTCACATCAAGAGGGCTTTTTAAAATTATTTTATTTATTATGTGTGTGTACGTGTGCACGAATGCAGGGCACACCAGTGAAGGTCAGAAAATGGCTGTTGGGAGTCTGTTCTCTCCATTCACCGTGTGGGTGGCAGGAATCAAATTTAGGTCATCAGGCTTGGCAGCAAGGTCTTTACCCATGAGTCATCTTGCTGGCCCAGGAGGTTTTTATATTTAGTCAGCGTGTCCACAACTGTAATTTTAAAAAGCAAATGCCTCAGAAAGTGATGCACTGTAAATCTTTTCCTGTATTTTTTCATGTATGAGATGACGCCGAGTCATGTCAAGCTGATGAGGAAGGGCCACTGTCACAGAAAAGAGTGCCTTTTCTTCGAGTGAATGGAATCAGAACTTACTACCACCGTGTACATGAAGCCCTTTAGCAATATACCCCATAGACTTGCAACAATGTGACGAGAATGAGCAAACCGTAGCCCAGTGTGGCGGAAAAACAAATGGGAAGAGCAGCGCTTACTTCATCCGAGGCCAAGTACACGCAGAGTAGGGCCACTTCTTCCGCAGAGGCAAACCTCCCCGTCTTCTGTCTGTTTAGGAAACCTTGAAGTGCCTGTGGCAGGAGACAGTTCCAGATAAGAGATGTGGGCTGGCATGCATGTGCCCCTGTAACATCGTCAAGGAATCCACGGAGGGACTAGGGCCATCCGCTGAGGCTGCTGTAGATTTCAGTGTATCCACCTCTGTCACCACTAGTCAGGATACACTGAAATCTACGGATACTGTGATAGGTCAGAAAGCCACTAGGGCTGGGCATGGTGGTGCATGGTCCCAGCTCTTGGCAGGCAGGGGCAGGTGGATCTCTGGGTTTGAGACCAGCCGGGTCTACAGAGTGAGTTCCAGGACAACCAGGGCTACATAGAGGAACCCTGTCTCAAAAAAAAAAACAAAAAACAAAAATAAAAAAACAAAAACAAAAAACCCCAAACAACAAGCAAACAAATACCAAAAGAAAGCCACTAGGAACAGGCCATTGAGGTCAGTGCTGGGGCATGATTGTAAGACCAGCATGGGGAGTTGAGGAAGGACAGCACAAGTGACGGCCCATCTGGGATGCATAAGAAGACTCTTTATCACAAAACAACAACCACGAATTAACAGACATAGAACATCAGCTTGACCATCTCAGGCATTTTCAGCACACAGCTCCGGGGTAATAAGCACACACACACCTGGTGCCGTGAGCACCAGGCTCCATCTTGCTCTTCATCTTGCAAAAATAAACATTTCCATCTGCTAAGCAGTAATGTCTCCCCCTCCCCCGTCAGGCATGGCAGCCACCGCTGTACTTTCTGTCTCTATGAATCTGTCTACTCTAGATAAGGAATAGGGCATTTCATTAAAAAAAAAAAAAACAAGTCAAAAGGTTTGAAAACATTCAGACTGCTAGATATGCATACCTCTTTGGGATTGTCTCTGGCTTGTATTCTTTCTTGCAGAGATGGGGTGTCAACCGTTCCTAAATCAAAGGAGACAGTCACCATGGTTACTTCCAGTGAAAGGGGAATTAAACCTTGAACTCCTTTTCTGTGTGATAAGCAAGCAGTGAAATCTTTGTCCTTCCCCTTAAACGACACTGTGAACTCTACCTGCCTGACCTTGAAGGGTTATAACTTTTGTAATGACATCCAAATGCTTTTTAAACACACACAGTGATTCTCCGGGACACTAGGCTGGGACTGTAGCGGAGTTAACAGGCATTCTCAGTAACACACAGTCACGCTGGGTTTACTTGACTTTAGATCTGTAAGTATTTTTTTTACATGTTATCTCAGCCGGTCCCCAGAGGAGTCTTGAGAAGCAAATATGAGTTTCACCAGTTTACCTAAGTAGTTTCAAACCATTCTTTTCTGCTGGGATGTTCACCACGGGGATCCTGGGCTCAACTTCATGGCTGCTATAGACTTAGCCCATCTTTATGCTTTCATTTGTTTCAAATATGCATTTTTTAACTATTGCTCAAAGTTCTAATAAAACATAATTTGTTTTTCTAAGAACGAAAAAACAAGAAGGATTAGCTATTTAACCACTGAGGCATCTCTCCAGCCCAAATAACTCCTCGGATTAGCTATTTAAAATCCACTTAGTTGGGGCTGGAGAGACAGCTCAGAGGTTAAGAGCAGTGGCTGCTTTTCCAGAGGTCCTAAGTTCTATTCCTAGCAACCACGTGGTAGCTCACAACCCTCTGCAATGAGTTCTGGTGTGCAGGCATACATGCAGCCAAGACACTGCATACATAATAAAAATAAATAAATAAATAAATAAAATCCACTTAGTACCCAAGCCTGGACTTTTCCCCTAACTCATGTAATCTGTAAACTCTGTGGAACACTGATGGCTTTTTGTTTTGTTTTCAGAGCATCAGTACTCTGGGGAATCAATTGCTCTTTCTCGGGGTATACAAATTTTAAGGCATCCTCTCAGCTTTACCTCTAGACCAAGCCATTGAGAAGGCCACATGTAGCAGGAAGGTTTCTCTGGTCCCCCCGGATCCCGCAGTCCCTCATCTGCTTATAAAATAATCATTCAGAGGCTTAATGCTAATTACCAATTGTATGGCCTTTGTCAGGCTTCATGCCAGCTAACTCTTATAACTTAACCCATTCCTATTAATCTGTACATTGCCACGTGGCTGTGGCATTACCGGTCTGCTGGCATCTTGCTGCTCCTTTGGTGGCAGCTGGCGGCTCCCTCTCCTCTCCATTCTTCTCTCCATATCTCTGCTTGGATTTCCCACCTGCCTCTAAGCTGCCTTGTGCAGTGCAGCTTTATTTATCAACCAGTCAGAGCAACACATATTCAAAGGCATCCCACAGCAGCCATACATAGATTTGACTCTGTTCTGAAAGTGTTTCTTTTTTTTTTTTTTTTTTTTTTTTTTTTGAGACAGGGTTTCTCTATGTAGTTTTGGTGCCTGTCCTGGATCTCACTCTGTAGACCAGGCTGACCTCGAACTCACAGAGATCCACCTGGCTCTGCCTCCCGAGTGCTGGGATTAAAGGTGTGCGCCACCACCGCCCGGCTGAAAGTGTTTCTTAATTTTGGTATCATTTGCCATTTTTCTGGAGAGGTGGAGAACCTCAGACCATGACTCCTGTGCAGAACCATCCCCTTAGGTTCTCAGTCAGGTCCTGCAGCACACGGGCAGCACTTTCACCTCAGCCGGGTCACTCACCCATCCGCAACAGTTTGAATATCCACGTTACGGCAGAAGAGACACCCCACTTAACCAATTTACAGAGTCTTCCTCATTTTGCTTGTCAACAGCCTACTTAAAAGATCAAACTTTTGCCGGGCGGTGGTGGCGCACGCCTTTAATCCCAGCACTCGGGAGGCAGAGCCAGGTGGATCTCTGTGAGTTCGAGGCCAGCCTGGACTACCAAGTGAGTCCCAGGAAAGGCGCAAAGCTACACAGAGAAACCCTGTCTCAAAAAACCAAAAAAAAAAAGATCAAACTTTTACCGACCCATGTTCACCTTAAGCTATCCCTAACAGTCCTCAAAATCGTATAGCTGTACGTGCTGGGTGGGGGTCATAGTTTACATGTGACCGTCACTGATAAATATGAAAACTAGTACAAGCCCGCGTCCTCGGATTAATCCACTTCACTGGTGTCTGCTGTGCCATGTATACACCTGTGGCTGGAATGGGGTGACTCACAACCATCAGCACTATCCCAGGCACGTTTGCTCCTCCTTTGCTTCTGGGGTGACCTCCATGAATCACAGCTAGTTCCTGGTTCCAGAAGTTTAATAACAGATTTTCCAAGTCCTATGAAAATTCTAGCTGTGGAAACAATCCTATTTTGAGATCTTTGTCATTTTTTCCTGATGACCAGTGCCACCAAGATCAGGTGTAGTCCAGTATGAATGGCGAGAGTGTCCTATTTCTGTTACTGGTGGCTGCATTTTCTCCCCCCCCCACCCCCCAAGTGACACAGACCATCTAAATCTCTGCAGCTCAGCCATGAAGGATATTTAATAGTTTCTCCTGTGTACATCTGTGGTTCCCAACCTGAGAGTCGAATAGAATCTTCTCTGGGACTTCCCAAATGACACACAGATCTCCTACCAATACCTCCCCTCAATTCCGGCATGCCCATCAGGTGGAGCACCGCAGCTCTGGCTGTGGACTATCGGACTATTGAAAACTTTAGTGCTGGACATACAACGCTTCTTGTCAGAGTTTGAATTCCTTGGTTTTAAGACTTCTCTTATGGCAGTGATGGGAGGGGGGCAGTTCTATCGAAAAGACCATTGCTGCATTTGATTTTTGGATAACCTCCTCTTCTTGCCCATCTGTGTTAAACTTCAGGTGCTCTCCCAGCCTGCCTTCAGCAACTTGGCACCAGCAGCCGAATCATCGCCAGTCACCAAATGCTGTGGGATGGTCTGTATGTCAAATGTGTTGCTGATTGGTCAATGAATAAATCACTGATTGGCAGTGGCCAGGCAGGAAGTATAGGCGGGACTAACAGAGAGGAGAATGGAGAGAACAGGAAGCTGGGTGGGAGAGACACTACCAGCCGCCATCAGGATAAGGAAGATGTAAAGTACCGGTAAGCCACAAGCCACGTGGCAAGGTATAGATTAATAGAAATGGATTAATTTAAGCTGTAAGAACAGTTAGCAAGAAGCCTGCCACGGCCATACAGTTTGTAACCAATATAAGTCTCTGTGTTTACTTGGTCGGGTCTGAGGGGCTGTGGGACTGGCGGGTGAGAGAGATTTGCCCTGACTGTGGGCCAGGCAGGAAAACGTTAGCTACAACCAAATTCACACTTGTACCCTTTAAAAGGTCCCCGCCATCACAGGCCACTCTCTTGTTCTGTCTCTCCCTCTCTTGTCCCCACACCACATACATCTCTTTTGTGAGATCTGTTGCATGGTGTGATCGCTGCAGCATTCCTTGGCTCTGACTCGCCAAGGTCATACGAAGCAGCAATTTCTGCTTTGACAGATCTTGTGTTATTTAGTGCTTTTTAGTGCATGATGCATCAGGGCATCAGTGCATGGTGTGTTGGTGAATGGTATGTTAGTGCATGGTACATCGTTGCATGGTGCATCAAAACTGCCCCACCCCCAACAGCTGTGAGCCTGGGAAACCTGTTTATTTCGAGCTCTCAGAAGCCAACTCTATGAATGGTGGCCTGAGATGTCTTGGTTTCAGCTGGCACTGTTAGGTACCCTGTATTCATTTTGGGTTGGTGGAACCAGAAAGAAGTGTAGTGTACCCACAGTTACCCAGAAACTGTGTCTCACCCACAGTTACTAAGAAAAGGGGTTTTGCTGGGCCTAGTGATGTACACCTCCAGCCCCAGTAGTGAGGAGGCAGAAGCAGGCTGATACCTATGAGATACAGACCAGCCTGGTTCACACAGTGATTTCCAGGCAGCTAGAAAACAGAACAAACAAATGAAAAGCAAAGCCGTTTTTTTGCATCTTCATAGGAGGGCGGTCACACTATTTTCACAATGGTAGCAAATATTTTTGCTTTGAGAGCCATGTGATCTGTTGCAACCTCTCAACTCTGCCTTTGTAGCAAGAATGCATAAACCATGCAGGTGGGAGTGTCTCCAGTAAGCTGTACTTACAAAACAGGCCACAGCATCCTTTTGATTTAGGGGTGTCATTTGGGACTCTGGCAGATTCCTGTGTTCCACGAGGCTCCCCTGACTTCCTCTCTGCTGTCCCACTGACAGCACTCTGCTGTCCCACTACTGTTTGACCCTCCACTAATGAGGTCGCCATGGTCTGTCTGCTTTTAAAACAATAGGTTCTGGCAAGTTTTGTGTCTCAGCCACTGGAGTCTCAACTGTCCCACACATGCTGGGTTTTAAATCCTTTACATCGAGGCTTCTTCCAAGTGACTTGGAACCTCTGTCCATCCAAAGCTGTACTGTCCTCCTAACTAGGCCAAACCTTTAGTTTAAATGTCTCTCAATGATGAGAAATTGAACACTTGATAAACAAGCTGATGAAAACGTTGCTTATGGTGCCAAAGGGAACGTAAGAAAGGCCAAGTTCACAGCCCTCCTGACCCGACTCACCTGGGCACACACAGTTGCATCTGATGCCCTGCTGGATGAAGTCTGCAGCCACAGACTTTGTGAGGCCTATCACAGCCGCTTTGGTGGCACTGTACACACATCTGTTTTCCACTCCTGGGTGTGAAAAATTAGAGACATAGTTTCCTTTAGAAAGGAACACAGTGAGTTTTCCCCACTCAACCATTTTCATATTCTTCCCATCAGCTCTCCTTTTATCTATTATTTATTTATTTATAATAAAAAAATGAAATCAGCTTTCCCTACCTGTTGTTCACTGACAGTACAGCTGCAGGAAAGCCTCATTCCTCTCTAGATCTTCCTAAGTGCAGAAACAAAAGCCCATCTCCCTTACATCCTGCTCACATATATTTCAGAGGGAAAGAATGCCATCTCCACAGTGATTTCATTTTAAACTCCCAAATCTGTCAATGCCAGGCTGTGACATTCTTTCCATTTAGTCCTAGCCCTTCTCCTTGACTTCCCTTTCAGGGCCCAAGGCCCCTGTCTGCTGCAACCTCAAACTCACAAGCACAAGGACCTCTCACATGTGGTACACTTTGTGAGAACCTCTGCTACACCGCAGAATATGGAATGTGAGGCTGAGTCTGGGAGTGCCCACTGATAACCTAGCAGCACTTCAGAAGCGGGAGATAGGAAGCGCAGGAGGAGTTCAAGCCAGCTTTGGTTACCTAGTGAATTTGAGGCCAGGGGCTTCCTGAGACACTATCTTTGAGAAGCACAAAACAGAATGTGTCCCCTTGTGTAATGTGAATTCTTTTGTTTTTTGGTTTTTTGGGGGGAATTCAAGGGGCATCCAGCTCAGCTTGCATTCAATATATCATTTTAGATTACTTCAGTGATACATCTTTTCTTCTCCTAACTCAATTTTCACTTCCATGCACGTAGAAGGAATACAAGGAAAAGCAAAGACAGTAATTTTTTATTTAATTTGATGAGTAGCCTGATGACATAAGCTACTTAAGATTATTTTTTTAAAAAAGCTGTTCTGAATTTTCCTAGGTTTTATGAATTTGTCTATGCTTAGTTCTAAAATCCACAGCTCATGAAAGTGTGTGTGTGTGTGTGTGTGTGTGAACTCAACTCCCGACCCCAAGGAAGACACTAGTACCTTTGATGCTCGAGGCCACAGAAGACATGTTGATAATGTTGCCACATTTCTGAGCAAGCATCTGCCAAGACAAAGCAAAAACGTCTCTCCTCTGCAGGTTGAAGCCATAGTTCACTGACACATTTGCACTGACTCCTAGCCAACTAGACCCTTTCCTTTGTTTCTTTTTCATCTTCTTTTTGGAGACAGGCTCTTGCACTATATCCTAGACTGGCCTTGAATTCAAGATCCTCATACTTCAGCCTCACAAGTGCTGGGAGGACAGGAGTGTACTACCAGGCTAGGCTCAATTTAATTATCTTATTAGCTATTAACTTTAAGCTCTATGAAACAGTCTTACATGTGAACCCACAATCTTTGCCCATGCATTGGAGGGAGCTAGTGGCATGTCTAAACACCCACTGGTGTTCTAAGGGCATGCTACCACCTCCTATGGGTACAAAGACATTATCATCAAGACCAAAAATGAACCCTGTTGTTTTTCTTTTTATGGGCCCACGTTGGAATGCCAAAATGTTGTTGGTTGTTTTTGCTCTTTTGGGGGACCCACCACCCAGCTCCCAAATAAATCACACAGGGAGGCTTATTTTTAATTATAAATGACCAGCCTTAGCTTGGCTTGTTTCTTGCCAGCTTGTCTTAAATTATCCCATCTACTTTTGCCTCTGGGATGTTTTTCCCTTTCTTACTTCTGTGTATCTTAATTTCACTCTTACTCAGTGGCTGGCTGTGTGGCTGGGTGGCTGCCCCCTGGCATCCTCCTCTCCTTGTTCTCTTGCTCTTTCTCCTTTCTTGCTTCCTGATCCTTCTTTTTCTCCTTCCATTTATTCTCTCTGCCTGCTAGCCCCACCTATCCTTTCTCCTGCCTTGCTATTGGCTGTTCAGCTTTTTATTAGATGTTTTAGACAGGCACAGTAGCACAGCTTCAGAGTTAAACAAATGCAACATCAGAAGAATGCAACACATCTTTGCATCATTAAAGCAAATGTTCCACAGCATAAACAAATGTAACACATCTTAAAATAATATTCCACAACAGCACCCTGAGCTAAAAGGACATGAACAAGCATCAGTGTGTTCCTGATGTGGGCAGACCTATTTTATTTAACATGAATGCATCGAAGAGCTTCTAAACTCAGGTACTGTGTGACACCCAGGAAATTGAAAGACAAAGGACATAGTCCCTGCCTACAGCAGCAGACAACTAGAAGACAGTCAAAGTGGAGACCTGCAGAGAGAGAGCTGAGGAGAGGATGGGATAGGAAGGGCCCCTCTGGGGATGGGGGCCATTCCACGGAGCTACCGAGAAGGAAACGGCTAAAACTGTAGTGTCCGTCATAGAACTAGAAAACAAAAACCGAGGTGCTTCAAGGAGGTACTACAAGTATAAGGTCTCCACAGGGACCTGGGAGGAGGGGATGGGTGTGGCTGGAATGGAGGCTTGGGGGCAGTAAGGCTGCAGAGTGGAGCCTAGGCTGCCGTGAAGAACTGGGTTTGACCCTGAAGGCACTGCAGGGCCGATGAAGGATGTAAGGTGGACGAGAAGTGGAACCTTCAATTTGGGGATTACAGAGATTACTCTGGTGCCAGGCGCAGATCAGGAGAAGCAGAAGCAGTGGTTTGGGAGAGCGTGGGAAAAGCAGAGCTGCAGGAAGATCCAGGACACAGGTGGAGAGTGCTTGCTTGCTCAGCACCCTGGAGTGTCACCACACCGAGAGGGAGGATGAGCAGCACACTGAGAGGGAGCACCAACACGGTAGGACAGCCATCCTCAATAAAATGTGGCATCATCACAAGGGTCTTAGAACAGTACCTAGAAGGGACACTCCAGTGATTCACTTGGTACAACTTTCAAATGCGGATGGCAGGGCTCTGTCCCAGATCTGAAGTCATGTACAAGGAACAATGCTACTATGAATTTTAATTTAGATGTTATTGACCATTACTCAGATACATGTTTCCAGATAACAGACAAAAATGTGGGCACCCTTTTCTCACCTGTTTCGGGAGAAGAAACAAGGAGTTGAGAGAACTTCTGGCATTGGGTACCAGTTTCTCAGTGAGGTCACTTGTCAGGTGGAGGGCACGGAAAAGAGAGCAAAGGCAATGGAATGGGGAGAGCGGCGGAGAGTTCAGACAGCTGCTGGGGACAGAGCACAAGCTGGAGAACAGGATGTCTGGCATGTCTGTGACATAATGAAGATCAATTAAACATGGTTCTTTCTGGAAACTGATCTCGACAGGCAGTGTAAAGGACTTAGAAAAATCTCTCCTGCTGGGGGAGTTTCTTTACCAGGGTTTAGAAGAAATGTAGGAAAGGAGTTTTATGACTGATGGATCCAGAGCCGGGGTGGCCAAGACGATCCACTTCCTTGTGGTATTTTTCTTACTCTCCATATTAATTCTTGGGGCTCATTATACCCAAGATCAAAGAGTATAGGACAAATATCAAGGCATTGGGCTGCAGGGGCTAACAGCACACAGGTGAGGCTGAGATAACCAACCATGTCAAGGGACACAGCAGGGAAGCAACATTTTACTTAAATGTGTCTCTCTTTTTTTTTTTGAGACATGGTTTCTCTGGATAACCTTGGCTGTTGCTTTGTAGACAAGGTTGGCCTAGAACTCACAGAGGTCCTCTGCCTTTTAGTGCTAGGACTAAAGGTGTGTGCCACCATGCCAGGGTGCAGTGCGTCTTTGTACATGATAAAGGGGATCATAAAGCTAGGCATAATGCCTCCTGATCTGCCCCCTTTAATCCTAGCACTCAGAAGGCAGAGGAAGGTAGATCTCTGTGAGTTCAAGGCCAGCCTGGTCTACATGGTCAGTTCTAAGCCAGCCAAAGATGTGTAGTAGGACCCCATCTCAAAAAGAAAATAAGGGGTAGGGGGGATAATAATCGTATAGGGTGAGCAATGGTCATGACATATGATGCTAAAAAAAAAAACTAACAAAACAACAACAAACACAAATCCAAGTTTTAAAATCTTTTTTTTTTTTCTTATCTGGTTTATCATTTTTTCTTATCTGACATAACCTACTTTTAATACTTAGATAATATGCACAGCTCAGTTTAGTATGTAGACTGGCTATGATAAAGGCTTTCTCCCGTCTTCGGAAATCCAGTAGTTTCCAGGGCAAAAACTCAGGCCTCAGTCACCCCAGAGATGCAAGTCATATGCCTACCACTCACACCGCCCATTCAGTTCCGTCCATTCCTTCCACGGCTCTGTGTTCCTTGTCTGTTTCCAGGCTGTCTCCCAGTGACGGCTCTGTGCCAGCTGTCACAGTGAGCTGTTCCTCCAGGCTCCGTGTGTGACAGCACTTTTCTGGCGGGGCTGAGTGTGAAGTGATGGGTCTAGAACAACTCATCTCCAGGAAACTCAAGTGGAGGATCACTCTAGTTGAACCTAGTTAGTCTAACTCAGACACAGCCCTTCTGTACCCATCACCAGAGCTCAGCCCAGCTTGTCATTTCGTGGCATTCTAAGTCAGCAGGTTCAGTGTTTGGCCTCTCCCTGGACTGAAAGGTTTGATTTATTTAACCAGTGTTTGCTAAATCCTTCTATGTGACCAACCCCAATAAGACACAGGAAGGGGGAAAGTAAATAAAATGCAAATCCAAATATCAAAGACATCCCCAAATTTTTGCCACGATGGATCTCTTCTAGGGGACCTGGCATTCTGCAATTACTGTTCTTACACTGTTTTCAACTTGGTCTCTGCCTCTCAACTGGCTTTGCAACCCAGGAACGGTGTGCTGTGTATTTATCTGTGAACGAAAACCTTCTCCAAGTATTCCTATGTTTTGACCAAATGACCTTTCAGATCTATGTGGGCTTTACATCCTGGAAATTTTTAACCTGGCAATTATGAGTCATAGTTAATGATTCAGAAAATCCCTGGACAATGAGGGCTGGAAGTGATGTGAAATGTGTCATCCTCATTCTTAGATGGAAGAGACAGACAATGAGAGGGGGTAAGTGCCATCTCCTAGGACATGCAGCCTAGCAACTCAGAGTGTGTTTAGGGACTCGAGTGCCAATGTCCGAGACCAACAGTCAAGATGGTCAGTGTCGTCTTTCCCACTAAGACTAGGCTTTGCTGTGAAGTCCCACCTGGGCTTAAAGCCCCCAAGTGTTGAGATTACATGTGTGTGCCCCTGCTCACACCTGTGTAAAAGCCACTTTATACAAATGGTGCTGAGTCCTTCTGATTCCACACCCCAGTCACTGATACATTTTTCTAAAAAAAAAAAAAATGTATTTTATCATCACTAAGATCATGAACTTATGATCTGGCATGGGTGTCTTAAAAAGCTAACATCTCCTTACAAAGTCTACCTGTGCTGTACCTCACACCCACTCCTCTCTCAGCCTCTGCTTCAGACCTGCAGCAGGCTGTGGTTACAAAGAAGTGGATATGTATAGTTGGCATTTTCTTTGTGCCGCCAACCATTCCAACCAGTTTGGAGACTTGTTATTAATTATGAATGCTCGACTTTAGTTTAGGCTTGTCCCACTAGCTCTTTTAACTTAATTTAACCTGTTTCTATTCATCTACATTTTTGCCTCAGGGCTTTTTACCTTTCTTTCATTCTGTGTGTCCTACATTCCTGCTTCCTCCGTGTCTGTCTGTCTGGCCCCTGGTATCTTCCTGGCATCTTTTTCTTTCTTGAGCTGAAATTCCTCCTCCTCCTTACTCTCCCTGCCCAGAAGTCCTGTCTATACCTCCTCCCTTACTATTGGCCATTCAGCTTTTTATTAGACTACTCAGGTAGGTGCCTTAGGCAGGCAAGGTAAAACAGCAACACATCTTTACATAATTAAACAAATGTAACACATCTTTACATAGTTAAACACATGCAGCACATCTTTACATAGTTAAACAAATATTCTGCGACAGATATGTGTGCTGCCCTCTGTGACCTAGCTTTCTCCTTCACTTCCTCCCCCGAATCCTATACTAACTATTGGTCTTCAACAAATACATTTAGGTCCCAAACAACATTTGTAGACTTTAAAAAGGCAACAATTTTACTTTTATGTATTTACTCATTTTAAAGGTTTACTTCGTTTTTATTTAAGTGTATGTGCACCTACATGTATATGTGTGTATGCGCGTATGTGTACCTACATGTTTGTGGGTGCTCCAGAGGCCAGAAGAGGGTGCTGAATGCTGTGGGCTGCAGTTATTACAGGCAGTTAGTTGTTCAGGGAACTGAACTCAGGTCCTCTGGAAAAGCAGCAAGTGCTCTTAACCTCTGAGTCATTCTCCTGTCTGGAAACAAACTTTTGAGGGACTAATGAGTCCAATATCATGTGGGCTGACCAAAGATCCTTTTAAAGCATTAATCAAGTACTCAAAAGCACATCTTCAAGCTGGGCGTAGTGGCAAATGCCATTAATCCCAGCACTTGGGAGGCAGAGGCAGATGGATCTCTGTGAGTTCAAGGCCAGCTTGGCCTACAGAGCGAGTTCCAGGACAGTCGGAGCTACATAGTGAGACAGTGTCTTAGGGGGAAAAAAAGTGTACCTTCACTGCAGCTGGGCTGGCTCTGTCCTCTGTCAGCCCCATTCACTGCTACTACTGGTTTAAAAGCCATGCCAGGTCAGGGTTACATCCCTCCTACATTTACACCCTTCCGGAACACCCAGAAGAGCTCTTCACTCTAAAAGGCACATTATGATTTATTTGAAAAGTAAAATGTAGGTTGGGCATGGTGGCGCACATCTTTGATCCCAGCACAAGGGAGACAGAGACAAGCAGATCTCTGTGAGTTTGAGGCCAGCCTGGTCTATATCCACCAGCCAGGGCTCCATAGTGAGGCTGTATCTCACACAAAAGAAAGGGGCTGGAGAGATGGCTCAGTGGTTAGGAGCACTGACTGCTCTTGTCACCTGTAACTCCAATCCCAGAGGATCTGATGCCATCGTCTTGCCTCTGGGAGTACACAGATACACACGCAGGTAAAACAACCCCCACACATAAAATATTAAAATAAAATAATTACAAAAACACACAATTCTTTGTGGTGGAAAAAAGCCCTGGGGCCTAAGTACCTTGACAGTGTGTGCTCAGACGTGGAAGGGTGAGCTACTGGGCTTCACAGACTGACTCTCATCACTTCTAGTTGCAGGAGCCCAGGCTCCTTCCCTCCTGTCTCCCGTTTACCCTCTGTGTAGTCAGCTGACAGACGAAAACTCACTCACCTCACAGGACTGCTCTGCTCCTGCAGCAAGAAGCCAGGCCATCTCTCCAGACACTCCCTCCCTTCATTTTGTTCTCTCCAAGAATCCCAACTTGCCAGTGAGGTCTAAGAGGGCCTCACTGTTACCATAGCTCCTTTGCCTGCATGGTATTCATAACCACCCCAATTTATATTACAGGTCAATTGAGTTCCCATAGTGGGAACTCTCTTCAAGAAAGAACTCCATAAACTGCCTTGATATAAACGTTCATGCACATTAGTCAACGTCACACTCAAATACACGTACATATCCTCTGTGCACCCAGTATGAAAGATGATGCCCTGCTTATACTGCCAGTCCTCTTACTTTGGGAAGGAATGCCTTGATCATCAGGTACATGCTGCGGACGTTGAGATTCATTGAAAAGTCCCAGTCTTTTTCCTCACAATCCAGGATGGTCCCATGGTGGACAAAACTGAAAGAGTAATTTAACAGAGGGGGGAAAACATGTTAAGGACTAACCAAAAAAGCACTTGCTAGCATGCCCTGTGTGCAACCCCTAGGATTATAAGAACAAAACAACACACACACTCCTGCAATTAAAACCTTTTTCTAAACCGAGTGGTGGTGGCATACGCCTTTAGTCTCAGCACTCAGGAGGCAGAGGCAAGTGGATCTCTAAGTTCGAGGCCAGCCTGGTTTACAGAACAAGTTCCAGGACAGCCAGAGCTAACCAGAGAAACCCTGTCTTCAAACAAACAAAAAACAACAAAACCCTCAACTTTTTCTGATCTATTGAATGATCACTTTTATTGTCACTTGCAAGTTAGACCATTGTCCCTTTTCCTTTTCAAGGCTTTAAACAATTCAAACATAGTATAATTTAACATATTACGTTAGTGAAAATGCCAATATTTTTATATGAAAACATTGTTTTTCAGGGGCTGGTGAGATGGTCCAGTGGGTAAAGATGCCAGTCATTAAACCTGATGACCTGAGCTCGAGCTCTGATACCCACAAAGTAAAAGTAAACAACCAACCCCAGCTGGTTGTCTGACTTCCACATATGCAGACACACTCACAAAATACATACATGTAATAAAAGAAAAAGAATTGGAACTGGGCATGGTGACACATACCTTTTCATCTCAGCACTCTGGAGGCAGAGGCAGGCAGATTTTGTGAGTATGAGGCCAAGCTGGTCTACAGAGTGAGTTCCAGGTCGGCCAAGCTACATGGTGAGACCCTGTCTATAAAAAAAGAGATAGGCTGGGGACAGCCTAACGACTTAAGTTCAATTCCCAGAACCTGCACAGCAGAAGAGAACTGACTCTTGCAAGGTGTCTTCTGATCTCCACATACATGCCATAGAGTGAGCACGCACGTGTACACAAACACACACACACACACACACACACACACACACACACACACACACACACACACACACACATTGAAAAGAAAGAAAAAAGAAATCATCCTCTTGAAAGAACAAAGCAGGAGCTGCTAAACATAAGAATCTCAGTACCCAGGGCTTTGGAAACGCCAGTGCTTTAAAAACAGAGAATGAACAAGGACAGCTGGTCCATTTGGCTCCTGTTTCCAGGGCGACAGCGCCCTCAGGTGGCACGGGCTAAAATTCTATAGGGAAATCCAAACTACAAGGAAAATCACTGTCTCCATGTATCAGCGTAGAGAAGTAACCCTGTGGCTGTTTGCATCTAGTATAGTGTACAAACCCCTATAGATCAGTGTAGCGAAGTATTACTGTGGATGTTTGCATCTGACGCAGAACACAAAGGAGGAAGAGCAGACAAAATCCTAAAATCACCCTTGCCCCCTTGCAAGCCACTCTTCCTCAAGGAAACTTCCTGAACATGGCATCCCTACAGACGTGGTCCCCTGAACTGAGACTACATCGTCAAACATAAGATGTAGTTTGGAATGGTTCCCACGTACTGTAGGGCTTCTGGCCAGGCGCTTGGTTAGCTTCCGTAGCAAGACCCACACACTGCCTCCTGCATCTTCTGCAGTGCTGAAGACTGAACTGATGCTGTGTCTCTAGATGCCGCCTTGTAGAAGGACAAGCAGACCATTTATAAGAGAAATGTCCGAAACAACTGCTTTGCTTCATTTCCACACTGTAGATCAGTGCCCACGCCCTGCCTCAGCTTTAACTGCCTGTGGGCCCCAAGTTCACATCAGATGACATCACTGTCTCACTCACTGAATGTACAGAGATGTGTGACTTCTAGCCTGACTTCCCAAGGAATGCGCCATGTTTTGTCAAGTAATCATTCTTTTACACTATCAATAGCCATTTAATAAAATCATAGAAAACTTTTTAAAGAGTGAAATAAAAAGTTTAAAATTGCCAGGCGGTGGTGGTGCACGCCTTTAATCCCAGGACTTGGGAGACAGAGGCAGGCGGATCTCTGTGAGTTTGAGGCCAGCCTGGTCTACAAAGCGAGTTCCAGGACAGGCTCCAAAGCTACACAGAGAAACCCTGTCTCAAAAAAACAAACAAACAAACAAAAAAAACAAAACAAACAAGAATTTAATTACCCAGCAACATTAAAGAGGACATCAATTCTCTCAACTTCCGAGGCAAACTGATCAATCTGCTTTTTCTTTGTGACATCAAGGACTCGAGTTTGAATGCCTGAAGAATGAAGTAAAAGATAGTATTAAATAGAATGCATAAAGTACGTAACCTTGAAGATTTGGCTGTTTTGTAGTGTGAAGTGTGAAGAATGCAGCATTTCCTTTTAGGCTGCAGAGGACTCACAGCCATCACTGGCGTTTTAGCCATCTCAAGAGTGTCATTAAAATGCAGAAATCTTAGGCTGGAGACATGGCTCAGTGGCTAAAAACACTTACTGCTCTATCAGAGGACTGGGGCTCACATACCAACTGTCACATCAGGTGATTCCAGGTCTGAGGGATCTGACATCTCCTTCTGACCTCTGTGGGCACTCACATATACACATGCTCACACATATATAAATAAATAAGTAATAATAAAGTAGATCTTTAAAAAAACTCTTCTAAAGATGTACAAATCTTAAAGTGTCATCTTCTACCCCCTCAATAAGATCTCTGTTAGTGTCTACACAGATAGCTCAGCAGTTACGAGCACTGTCTGCTTTTCCAGACCATCTGGATTTGATTCTAGGCACCCCTGTGGTGGTTAATAACTGTCTGTAACTCCAGTTCCGGAGGCTCCATCATCCTCTTCTGGCCTCCATGGGTATTGCACTCACTTGGTACAGGTAAACCAACCATACACATAAAATAAAAATTAAAAAATGGTAAAATAATAATAATAATATCTATGTGTTAAACAGTGAGTTCCACTTTTTCATGAAATGTCTCCATTTCCCTCCAGTAAAATAAAAGTAATGATAAAATGCAACAAACAAACAAAAGACCAATAAATTTCCACCTGCCTTTTAGCTTTCAAGGGGGCTACAAGCATTTCTGCAAGAACTCAAGAGGATCATATCATGTGACTTGGGACAAGGCTGCTCCAGAGGAGTCATGGACAGCAGTGAAACCATCATTAATAGTTAACCTGACAGCTGTTAATTCTCACAGAACTTTGTAATTGGGAGCAAAATCCCTCAACATGTGGTACAATAGAAAACCTTAAGTATGTCCCTTCAGACCTCCCCCTCACACTTCTGCCTGTACAGACGACGTTCTGTAGACATGGAATACAGATGTGCTATGAAGGATACTCTAAGAGACAGGTATCCGCAGCAGCCAGAGCTTCGTTTCAATGCTCAGCGTCTTTGTTTTCTAACACTGGGCTGATTCTGAACCCACAGTCAAGTTGCTCACCTGGGTAATTTTCCAGTTCCTGGAGTTTGGACTCATTGATGTCTGTGGCTATAACTTTGGCTCCTTCTTTTGCAAAAGCCTGCCAGGAACAAAATACAAGTCAGTCCTTTGCTTACTTGAATAAATAGCTCTCAAAACTGGAAATCATTTTTTCTTTTCATAATATTTTTGCTGTTTTTCCTATAAAATATGTGGAATTTCCATCTCTCTAGTCTCATTCCCCCTTACCCCACCATAATTTATCAGTCATTAGAGCGGCATGGCATACATTGTATTTTCCATTTGACTTTGTCTTTTTATTATCAAACAATATAGTATTTTATAGAATTAAAAAAATTCTAACTCAAGACTGGAGAGATGGCTCAGCAGTTAAAAGATGGCTACACTTCCAGAGGACCTGGGTTTGGTTCCCAGCACCGATAAGGCAGCTCACCACTGTCTGTACCTCTAGGTCCGGGATATCTGATACCTTCTCCTGGGCTCCACAGGTATCAGGTGTGCACTTGGCATACATATATACACATAGGCAAAGCATTCATATACATAAAAAAAATATAAATATAAATAAATAAATATTTCAAAAAACCAAAAACTCTAGCTCAGAGCTGGCTCTTGGCATATGTCTTTAATCCCAGCACTTGAGAAGCAGAGGCACGTGGCTCTCTGTGAGTTTGAGGCTAACCTGGTCTACACAGAGAGTTCTAGGTCAACCGGGACTACATAGTGAGACCCTGTTCCAACAAACAAACAAGCAATCAATCCCCCTACACCTGTTTCTAAAATAATGTTGCTATTCCATGATGAGACCCTATCTGTGTTTTTTTTTTTTTTTTGGTTTTTCGAGACAGGGTTTCTCTGTGTAGCTTTGCGCCTTTCCTGGAACTCACTTGGTAGTCCAGGCTGGCCTCGAACTCACAGAGATCCGCCTGGCTCTGCCTCCCGAGTGCTCCTATCTGTGTTTTACGTCTTTATTTTTTTACATTTATTTATTGCGTATGTGTTTGTATGTGGTGCGGGCATGTGGAGGTTAAGAGGGACCCTTTGTGGAGTCATTTCCTCTTTCCTTTCTCCTTTCCAGGGGTCAAACTTAGGTCTCAGGGCTTAGAGGACAGTGCCTTTCTTTACCTGCTGAGCCAGCTCTGTAGCCTCCCTGTGCCATTTGTGAGCAATGAATAAAAAATAAGAGAAAAACGGCAAGTTTCCCTCCAACGGCTACAGCAGCAATTTCAGAAATGCCAGATCACACTCCGCATGGTCTTCCTAGTGCATTATTAGTCAGGCAGGGGTGCAATGAGGCAGAAATTGAGGCACCTCGCAAAAATGAGTTGAGAGTTTTACAACTCTGGGTCTTCATCCCGAACTTATATAGCTGCAGAGAACTGCATCCTCTGGAGCCGGCAGTCCAGCCAGATCCTTACGGTGCAGATAAACGGGGTGGAGAAGTGTGATTCTCAGAGCCCAAAGTTATGTGCTGCCGCGTAAGCACATGGAATTCCGTCCTTCTCTGTCAGGAACTTTTCTTTTGAACTTAAGATACATGGGCTGTCTAAGGGCACTGGTAGAAATTCCCGCACAGTGGGGGCGCCCTCTAAGACCTGGATTAGGCACAAACCACACCCAAACACCTGTTTTCACAGAGAGATCCTTTGTTAAGCAGGGAAGAAAAGTTAAAGTGAACTTTATGACTCAGGCCGAAAACAGAAGCAAATGACCTTGCAGGTGTCTTTTTTGTTGTTGTTGTGTTGTTTTTTGTTTTTGGAGACAGGGTTTCTCTGTGTAGTTTTGGTGCCTGTCCAGGATCTCGCTCTGTAGACCAAGCTGGCCTCGAACTCAGAGATCTGCCTGGCTCTGACTTCCGAGTGCTGGGGTTAAAGGTGTGTGCCATTGCCACCCAGGGCAGGTGTCATTTTTAAGAGGTGGAAAAGGGGAGGTCTGTGTTAGAATGGGCTCGGATGTGGTGGCATGTTTTGATTGGGCATGTTAATTAGGTGAACCAAAGGGGGCCTTTCATTGCTGGACTTGGTGGTCAGCCTCAGGAGGAGGAAGTGGCCAAATAAGGAAATAGACTCTGATGGCTACCTTTAAGGAAGTAATCTATGGTTTACAGGGAAAGGGGAAAAGGGTAAGTAAGGCCTGCCAGCTCCAGTTTGCCTGCTAGAGCCCTTCGGCCCTTACCACACAAGCCTAGAGACCTGAGTCAGTCCCTGGAATCCATGTCAATGGGGAAGGAAAGAACCACCCAGAGCTGTCTTTGTTATGCCCAGATCACGGGGATCCCAGAAAGACCACCATGGAGATCGAATCCCGAATGTAAAAGCAAAGAGCCTTTATTTCAAGTTCCGAGCTTGGTCTCTCTGTCTGTCCTACACAGTGGTGAGAGCAGAGAGCCCTGAGCCCAGACAGGGTGGGGTTTTTATCATAGCAAAGGATGGGGTGAGGGGATTTCCGGTATCTGTAAAACAAAAATAGGTGTGTGCTAGACTCAAGGACATCTGGCCACCTTATCTAATGGTTGGAATATTTGGGATGTCAGGTATTTCCTCATCCCTGGGTGGTATCAGCTTAAGGCTTTTCCTGGATCTGGGTGTTGCCTGCCACTAAGCCTTTCACAGAAGCTGTGTCTAGGCCCCTAAGCCTGTCATGGCTGCTGTGTGGTCAAGCTGTTTTGGGGTCCCTCCACATCTTCTGATCTTCACATTTGCATTGTGGAGCATGCTACACACACACACACACACACACACACACACACACACACACACACACACCATACACATCACACACACATACACACACCACACACACCATACACATACTCATTACACACACCACACACACCCCACATACACACACACACACACACACACACACACACACACACACACACACACACCATACACATACTCATTACACACACCACACACACCCCACATACACACACACACACACACACACACACTAATAAATTGAAAAAGACAGACGTATAAAGGGTGAAAAACAGAAGTGAAAGGCTGCGAATACAGCTCAGTGGTTAGGAGTGTATGCTTAGCAAGTTTGAGGCCCTGGGTTCAATTCCAAGCTGCAAAGAGAAAGAAAAAGAAGAAGAAAACCCATGCAAGGGAAGAAGAAAGGCAAGGGGAAGAGGAATAGAAAATAGTAAGTGAGAACAAATAACCGTGGTACCGGCCTGCCCATCTCCAGACTGTGAAGGTCAACCACAGCGGGTGTGAACTTACTAACGCAGAAGCCCGGCCGATCCCTTGAGCCGCAGCCGTCAGGACAATGACTTTCCCTTCCAGTCGGCCCATGGTGGAACCTGCGGCTTAATCCAAAAACACATGCCTTTAACGCCTCAAGTTGTAGCCAGTCAATTGTGCAGGTGGTGGGTAACATCTGGAAGGAACACATCAACTTGCTCTTTTAAGAACGTGGGGAAAGGGCCTCTGGACAACTATCCCACCACTGAGTGCTCAGGAGCGCTTCCTCTAGATGCCCGAGCAGATCAAAAGGGCACAGCACAGCCCACTCAAGTGATGACTGGTGGGGGACACTGGGCTGGAGTCCAGCTTCGCTTCCTTCTCATCCTCTAACGCTGAGACCAGAGAGGAGAGTTCCCTCTCTGCCCCCACTGCCTGGCCCGTGTTTTACGGCGTCGTTCTTGCCTGCACTTGCTATTTGGAACTGTTTTTCAGGTTCTCTTCTGAAAACCATTAACCACAGCCACGCCATTTTGAAAAGCTCCAGCAGTTTCCTGAAGCCTCCCCAACCAGCATTCCAGGATTAAAGTCATTTGTCTTTCTAGGTCTCCCCACCCCCGCTTACCCTCCCATGCCCCCCACAGACCCTCTGATGACCACTGGCCATAGGAGATGCTTAGCCATGCATCACCCCACCTTATTTTCCTCATGTCTCACCATTATTTGGTCACTGCTAGCAAAGGCCCATCTCAGGCACAAACGAAAACACTCCACCCTACTTTCTGCTCTTGCATTTATGACCCGAAATTGCCTCACAGAGGGTGGGCTCTGAAAATAAAAGCCTTCACTGTCTTAAGTCACCTGTTTCTTCGTCTGTAAACTTTTGCTGAGTCACAGAGGCAGACCCTTGTGGTTTCTCCTTGTCCCCTGAAAAGATTTCATAGTGGGCCTTAAGATTCACCAACCAGAAGGGCTGGAAAATCAAACCACAGCCCATACCTTCTTTTTGCAGAAGAGCACGAGAAACCCATTTGATTCCATTTTGAAGGCAGGAGCTGTTATGCTGTACTGTTTAAAATTAGTTTCTGTCTGGAACCTGACCTGCCCCAACCTACGATCTTGACTTGTTTTTTGGAAACACCCAAACCCTCCCAGTTCACATGGTGACCACATGGTGATACCAGGCTGCTGGGGTTTTGAGGTCATTCTGTACTTAATGCTCCATTGTCTTCTGTAAACCTACTTTGCAGCGCTTTAACCAGACCTAGGAGGCAGTCACTGGCCAGCTCTCAGTGCACTCCAGTTAGAACCAGAGGCCTCTCTCTCTTCTAATGCAGGCAGGAAGCCCCCAGCAGTGCCCACTTTGTTTGCATTGACCGAGCATGGTGGCCAGGCCACAGAAAAGGGAAGAGTGATTTGAAAAGTTTGTTTGCTGCTGCCACCACACAGGAAGGAGCAGGAGGGAAAACGTGTTGGGTGGGTGTGGAGTCATTCCCTCTGCTCATTCATCCTCCAAAAAGTGCCTGGGGGCCAGCCTTGAGGGCTCCTACTTTGTCCTTTATTTATTTTTTTAATGTTTTAAAATGGCTTATTTATTTCTATTCTGCGTGCATTGGTGTCCTGCCTGCATGCATGTCTGTGCGAGGGTGTCAGATCCCCTGGAGCTGGGGCTACAGACAGTTGTGAGCTGCCATGTGGTTCCTGGGAATTGCACCCAGGTGCTTTGGAAGAGCAGCCAGTGCTCTTAACCACTGGGCCATCTCTCCAGGCCCCACTTCGTCCTTTCTTTTGACCTTACCTGTTCTCTTTGGCTAGGTAAAGTTGCTAGGTGTTTTTGATTCTGCTTTTGCCCTCCTGTAGGGGTGTCCCCTGCCCCCACCCCCACGTGCCTGGCTTATCTCCTATTTACACTTGTCCACAGCTGGCACAGAGGCAATTAGGGAAAGCGTCGGGGACTCTCCGATTTATATTTTAGGGTCTATCCCTGACAGAACAGAGCTGGTCAGTGACTGTGAGGCCGCAGGAGCAGGAAATGACTGCATTTGTCTAGAAGTGGCAGGCAAAACAGTGGGGATGGAGACAGGGAGGGTGGGGAGTGCTTCCAGATGACAGACAGGACCTGGTCACCCATGCCACTAAAGTCACAGACTGTTTTGACCAGTGTTTCAGAGCTATTGTCTCAATGCAAGGACTTCCAAACACAGGTTCAAGGGAATGCTGCATAGTTTTCCCACTCACAGCAGGACGTAGGTGCCCATTGCCATGTACCTTCCATCCTCCAGTAATTGACCCTGGGACACCTTTGTTCTCCATTCCCACACTAGGGCAGACCATGATGGATGGGTGATGTGTAGACCTTTTCCACAGTGTGAAGGCAATATGAAGGCCTAGACTTGACTTTACAGACTCCATCTTAGGGAAGGGCCACCACCAGACCACCTAGTGACTGGGGGCTGTACTCAGTTCCAGGAAGAATCTCAGGAATGTGCCTAAACCTGTCAGCAAGTTGTTATTCCCTGCCCAAAGTCTAACCCAATAGTTTCAAATATGGTTTCATGCTGAAAGTCTAGACGAATAGTTTCAAAAAATCACCTTGCCCCATATCCCTTTTACCCAATCTCAAGACTCCAAGGCATGTAATTCCCGGCTTGTGGTTTTCCCTTTAAAAACTCCTACCCCTGGGCATGCCGCAGCGGCCACCACATTTCCCTCCAGCTGCCGGGCGTCGAACCTGACAATAAAGAGACCCTTATTTGCTTGCATTGGAAACCGGCTCCTTGGTGGTCTCTGGGGGTTTCTGGACCCGGGTACAACAACAGCTTCCTTAGGCACCCCACCCCCCCTTGCTGAAGGTCACCCCCATGGTGCAGCACTCAGGGCGCTTCGGCCCAGCTATACTTCCCCTTCTTCCTCCCTTACTCTACTCTCTGAAGTCTCTCCCATCCTCACCTGGCTCCTTTAAATTTTCTCTCACAACAGTTTTTCCCCTAATAAAAGCCATGCCTGTTGGGACCTATTAGAGCCTTCCTCTCGGAGATGCAGCCAGACACAGCCATATTATAAGAGGGAGCTTCTGGGACCAACCGACAGCCCAGCAGGCTGTGTGTTCCAACTCATTCCCAGATAGGACAACAGAGAAGCGGTTTTCACTGTGCCCCCCCCTATTCTCATGCAGAATGCTTTTACTGACACGCAGAGAGGAAAAAAAAAATCCACTTTGAATGTGGTAGAAGTTGAGAGAAAGTCAATGTGTGCCTTTTGAAAGGGCTCCAGCAGTCCCTGCCTTCCCCTGGTCCTGAGTACAGCATAAGAAACTCACTATCCTGTGCCTTCATGGTGATGCTGGGCCTTCACCCTCTGAAGCTGTGGATCTCAACCTTCCTAATGCTGTGACCCGTTAATACAGTTCCTCATGTTCTGGTGACCCCCAACCATAAAATTATCTCCTTGCTACTTCATAACTGTAAATTTGCGACTCTGATGAACCATAATGTAAATATCTGATAGGCGACCCCTGTCGATAGATGTCGCTACCCACAGGCTGAGAACCAGTGACATGCTACAGGCTTCCTTTAGCATCTCTGTGCTCCCCGCGGCGACCAGGGTACAAAGCTTCCTTTCCCTTTACTTCCAAACCTCCCTCCAGATGGCCTCTTGACTGTTCTAGATGATTTAGGGGCCAAAGCCCTGAAGTTAGGTAAGCATCACTCTCAAAGCAACATGGGTTTTGGAGGGACAATGAGTGGAAATGTGCAGAAATTGTAAAGTGAGCCCACTCCTAACCATGGCTGCTCTCCTACGCTAAAGACTGTAGTAAAACCCTGGGTTTCTTTTTACTAGGAGACGCTCACAGTACTTTCAGGAATTCCAAATATTTTCATGAGGCAAAGTTTACTTAGGACAGATACTGGAAAAGTTCTCTTTCTTTGGCTATTTTTGAACTCTAATAAATATAGGAGAATTTCCAACTCCCTTAAGGAATTATCCCATTCTAAAAGGCTATCTGGAGAACAGGGCAATAAAAGTTACACCTCTCATTCCCCCAAGTTTCGTTATAAACTATTAGAAAAAATCTTACTTTAGAACAGGGAGTCCACACAGTCCTCCAGATTTCTTCAGAAGACAGACTTCAGATCTTTGTGCAGGAGAAGTCACATGCTGATTAAATGCATGCTGGGAGGTGGAGTTCAGGTTCCTTCTGAGGCCTTTGCCGATTCCGGTTTCTTGAGTTTTTAAAAGAGCTTGCTCCAGCCCTGAACTTTAGGTGTGTCCATGTTGCCATCTAGTGGACAGAATGTAGAACTGCTAATGCCAAGCAGGAAGCCCCTGTCTTTGCATGTATTATTTATTACTCAGCCAGTGAGATGGAAATGGCAGGTGCAGCCAGCAGGACAGCACGCAAGGAACCCCAGTCACTGAACCTTCTATAGTCCCAGCCCTGAATCCAGATGGGGTTGAGAGAGGAAGAGAAAACTTCCCTGTGGCTAAGGTCTAGTTCTGGCACTCATCTGTCACGTGTGGTCAGGTCTAACACAAACACACCTTCAGCTGCAGCACACGAGCATCTTGGCTACACTGGGCCTGGGTGTGGTAGAGTGCCCCCAGCTGGAATGGAAGTCTGAAAAGGAACAGAGTTAAACAACAGGAAATCAAGTTGGTTGAAATAAACACCTATGAAGCCAAAAGGGAAGGACTAGATCTGGTGTGCTCTCTTGGTTGGCCAGAGACTTGTGGGTTAGTTAATCTGATTGGTGTGATTAGGCAGAGTGACTATGTAGGTCATGTGGGAATGTCCTACATAAACCAGGTACTCAGGACATGTTTGGCACCCTTTGCCGTGGCCTCTTGCACTGTGAAGGCTACCAAACAAAGCTCTCCAATTCCCAGCCTCCTTTGTTGCCAGGGCTGGCCAGTCACACAGATCTGGCCATGGAGACGAGGCTGCACTTTCTGAGGGCTTCTTTCCTGAAGGTAAGGTGAAGCCGCTCAGAAGGTTCTGGCTTCTGCTCCTCTTTCTGAGCAGCAGCTGTGGTGTGGGTTTGAGAGTCGGATGCACACGGGCAAGGCAGAGCAGAGCATGACCAGGAACTGGTCCTTCCAGGCTGGTTCAGGGTGACTCCTCTGCACTCTGTGGGGGCAGAAACTTCTGATCACTGCTCGTCAGTGTTTTGTGTTTGTTTGCTGCTGGTATTACCTGGTTAAGAATAATGAAAACAAACAGAACAACAGGGCTGGGTATGCTGCTCAGTGCTTGTCTCACATGCCAACAGGACCTGCCTTCAGCCTCTAGCACCTCATAAAGCCCCACATGGTGGCACATTGCCTGAGATCCAAGCGCAAGCAAGAGATGTAGGAGGATCACAAAGGTTGCCTAGTAACGTCAAGGCCAACCTGAACTACAGAAGATCATTATTCAAACAGGAACCAACCTCCCTCAAAGGAAAAAAAAGAGCTCAATTTAAAAATAAAAACACTGGCAAGTCCTATGCCTCCCCTCAGTAGTTCAGGAAATAAAACCTGTAAAGTGGCAAACTCTCCAGTGTTCTTATGTGGAAAAGGAGAATAAAGCAGCAATTACACCAAGGATGTGTGGAGGAGTGGGGTGTGTGTTGGTTTTAAATGTGGCGCTGTTACTGTGCAAGACAGGTCACGAGGCACGACAAAACCCAGAATCAGAGCTTATTAGGAGGAGGGGGGTAGGGACAGAGGAGAGTGACCAGGCCTGTGAAAGACCAGGCAGGTGCAGGGAGAGAGAGATGAGGGAGGAGGAGTCTGTGACCAGCTTTTTGAGGATTTCCCTGCACATGAGCACATGGGCTTATGGAGCTACACCACGCATGCGCAGATTGTGTGACCACACTGCGCACTGATGACGTAAGACGTAAGGCCCCTTACTTGGCTACTGAACTACGCATGTGTGGTCATGCAGCTGGAGGAGCGGCAGAATCCTAACAGTGTGGTGTGCAAGCGCAGTAACCCAGTGTTTGCCGCTCGCACACCTGCTGGATAAATGTCAACTTATTACAGAGGACACTCAGAGGAATAGAGTGTAAATGACAGAGTATTAGTTGCCTTGGCAGTTCTGCCCAGGACGCTGAGGCTGTGGAAGGCTCCCGCCACTTGGCATTGCTCTTCCCTGTTGTACAAAGCTCCTAATGCTGAATCCAGTGGTGAGCGCACATCTGGCTGTGCTCCTTGCTTTAATAAACATGTCTTTTCCTCAACTTCCCAGGGTTTTGAAAGAGACTTTTTTTTTTTTTAAATATTTTTTAAGGTTTATTTATTTATTATGTACACAGAAGAGGGCACCAGATCTCATTATAGATGGTTGTGAGCCACCATGTGGTTGCTGGGAATTGAACTCAGGACCTCTGGAAGAGCAGTCGGTGCTCTTAACCTCTGAGCCATCTCTCCAGCCCGAAAGAGACTTTTTTAATGACTATGAGAATGCTCTGAGACCAACTCCTGCATCTCTTTCTTAATTTCAGTGAAGATTTAAATCCAAGGGACTCGTCTGTAGTCCCTGTACTTGGGAGGCCAAGGTAGGGGGTTATAAGGACAAACTGGGCTTCACAGCAGGACCTGCTCTCAAAGGAAGAACAGATTCACATCCAGACGTTTCTATTTTCAATCCTGAAAACAGCAGGACTGAGGGGACACTAGCCCACTCTAGCATGTGGCTCTGGCAGGCCTTGCCCTTCTCTCCAATTCTATCTGCTTTGCTAAAAACTGTTAGATTACATTCCTGAAGCCAGCCCCCAAGGTCCATTCCCTTATTTGACCAATCCCTCCTCCTGAGGCTCACTACCAAGGTCCAGCTACCAAAATATTGAAATCCAGCAATTAACCCCCCCCATTGGCTCACCTAATTAACGTGCCCAATTAAAATTAAACACCTCATCCTAACACAGAGTTTCCCCTTGTACCTTTATAAACTGCCCATTTCCTATGTGCCATGTCTGTCTCCTCTCTATCCAGACAGTCCTTTGTCCTCTGGAACAAATACCCCTCTCCCCTCTCCCCTGTCCCCTTCCCCTTGTCCCTCATTCCCTCTCTCCTGTCTTAGTTTCTTCTTCCCTGCCCTCTGTCTCCCTGGGGCAAATAAATCTCCTTTGTGCTGAGAACTTGGTGTTGGGGTCCTGAGCCGATACTTTTCCTTTCATATGGTTCCATGACCCAGATTCAGCCTACAGGAAGACCTGCTTAACCCAGTTCTCTCACACTCAGACCTACAGGTGCCGGCCTTCTTCATCCAACATTGGCTGATAGGTGAGTTTCCCACTAAAACTCCCTGCATTCCTATACGTGATGTCCTAGAGTTTCTATGGCAGTGAAGAGACACCACAATCACGGCAGCTCTTATAAAGAAAACATTTAATTGGGGTGGCTTGCTTGCAGTTTCAGAGGGGAGCATGGCAGCATGCAGGCAGATGTGGTACTGGAGGAGTAGCTGAGAGTCCTACATCTTGCAGGCCGGCCACAGGAAGTTGACTGGACATCATAAGGCGGGAAGCTTGAGCAAAAGAGACCTCAAAGCCCGCCCCCACAGTGACACACTTCCTCCAAGGCCACACCTCCTAATAGTGCCATTCTCTTTGGGGGCCAATTTCTTTGAAACCACGACAAGTGATAAGCACATTCCATTTTGTTCTGTGTTGTTGGCAGGCTTTCCTCTCACTTTTGGTGGTTGCACTGCCAGAATCCAGAGCCCTTTCCCCATTCTTGTCGCCAGGTCACAGACTCTTCCTCGGACTCACTGGAGTACATCTTTCAGCGCTGGAGTTTGGATGACAGTGATTCTGCTCGGGCCTCTCGAGTTGCAAGAGGACACTCTCAACTTTGGTCCGACAGCCTTCATTGGCAATGGAAACACTTTGCCCCAACTGAAAAGCTCCTGTTAACCACGCACGTTAGCACTCACCAAGAACTTCGGTGCCTAAATGTGTCTCTGCATTCTCTTCTGTCTGCTCCAAGCCCTCCGTGTGACTCCTACACTCTCTGAACTTTGCTATGTGCCAGCTAAGCCTTTGTGCTGTTTCATGTCCTATTTAACTCTAAAAGCTGCAGGAATACTGATTACCAGCACTCTGTGCCCAACAGCCCCCCTCCCCGCAGCCCAGGGTGCTGCCGAGCCCACAGAGGATGCCACAGGCCACACACTTCAGGCCCAATCTGTGGCTGCTACTACTGTCCCCACCATCCGCAGCTGCCAGAGCCCTCCACCACCTCCTTTCAGCCCTCCTGAGCTCCTTCTCCTTGCTCATCCATCATCTGGCCACACTCACTCCTGTGTCAGCCCTGCCCACTCTGCAAAGCCCAGTCCAGCCTGGCCTGGCGGGGAGGAGTCAATGCTTGCCCAGAGCACATCAATCTGTCCTACACTCCATAACATCCGGTTACTCCCATGCCCGCAGCAACATGCAGCTTCCTTAGGCTCATTCCCGGGGCACAAGTTTTCCCTAAGGCCTCTACAACACCTCCTGGAAGTTCTGCAGGCCCGTGTATGGGCTACTATAACCACCCCCTCCACTGCTGTGGGTCCCAAAACTTGTTCCAGCTGCGCCGATCCAATGGCACCTCCCTCCTCCCTCACTGCTGTCTCTCCAAACTCCCAACTGTCTCTCCTTAACTCCCAGCCCAAGGGCAGCAGCCCGCCTGTCAAGATCACACTTGCTTCCATGTCAGGCCTGTGACAGTCCTCTGCTGTTACACCGTTACAACACCCTCCTCCCTCCTTCCGGAAGCCAAATTCTCCACTGTTGATAATCAAGTAAGCTACCATACACTTAGCTGCTTTCTCACCTTAACCCTTTCCTGTCCCACCTGACACTGCCTACAACTTAGTCATACAAAAGAAACAGTGATATTCTGAATATTCTGTAATGCCACAAAAAGTCTACTTCACTTATGGTTTACAGAAATAAGCTTTATTTAGCCCCCTGTACGTGTTTTCAAGGTTAAGCTTAAAATCAGGTATCCTTAATAGATACTTGGTTCTCAAACTCCTAAGAGAGCTGCTAAAAAACATGGCATTTAAAATGTTCAATAAAAACTCTTCACAATAAACAGAGGCCCCCTCCTAGCCAAAAAAACCTTTAAGGTCTCCAAAGAAAACAGATGGATCATTGGGCTGTTGATTCAACCTGGACTGTGGTAACTCTAACCACTGGGCAAACTGCCCCATGCCTCACCTGCCACCAGGAACCTGCACCAACTGTGGACACTTGAATTGACTGATAGACA